CAGTGGGACTCTGGGATCTGAGAGATGTTATTTAGATAGAAACTGCCACTCTGCCCTACACGCTCAATGGTTGGAGAGTCAGCCCATGCACCAAGGGGTCTCTGGTCAAGGGCCCATACCCAGGTTGCAGGTTCAATTTCCAGCCCCGGTAATGGCCCATGTGGGAAGCAAGCAATCAATATGTCTCTCTCACATTGATGTTTCTCTCCTTCTCTCCCCTAAACCCTCTCTTCCACTCTCTGTAAAAATCAATGGAAAAAATATCCTCAGGTAAGGATTTAAGAAAAAAGAAACTGCACACTGGCTGAGATAAAGTTTCAAGAAGTCCTCCCCGTCTACTTTAATCCTGAAGGCTGCACTCTAATGCTTGCCATGGACACATGTAAGAAAGATGACTAACCTGCAGGGAGTAGAGGCAGGTCTAGTTGCAGACCAATACTTAGTATGCATCCATCATACAGAGAGTCTGAGGAGCTGACCATTTCTAAACAGGGATCAACAGCATTTTCATTTCTAAGAGAGCAGAAAAAAGATCTGCTTATTTGTGAATGAGACTCTCTGAGTCACCTTTGGGTCCAAAGCTAATAAATTTAGCTTTATATTTCTGTAAAGAGCTTGCTGGAGAAAAGAACTAAAATTCAAGAGTAGCAGGGAAGTCTTTGCCATGTTAGCAAACTCACTATTGGGCCACAATTTAGAGCAGGATGCTAGATCATAGCCTGGGGTCTGGACCCAATAGGGCCATATTATCAACCTTGTGGCCTTGGGCACATCACTTGACCTCTCAATGTCACCATCTCCCACATGGATGTCATACTGGCAGGCACTTGATCTATAGACATTATCACTTCAGAATGGAGCAAAGCTGGTTTGTCACGTCTCTCTGTGCAACTTGAAAAAGTTCAAAAGAGAGTCCAAAGATGAGTTAAGATTTCTAAACTACCTCCTCAAAAAGGTTCAGGGATGTGATTGATTCAGCCCGAAGAAGAGAGACTTAATAAGAGCCTTCAAATAGATAAAGGGTTTTTACCCAGGGCCAGTGAGAATATGGAGACCACATGTTCGCAGTCTGCACTGAGCTGAGAAGCCCAAGCCCAGGCTCTGACAAGGAGAAGTTTCTGACATTAAGGGCCAAAGGACACAAATAAACTAGAGAATGTACTTCTGGGAAATACTTCATTGGGGGAAGGATGGGAAAGAAAGAGAGGGAGGGAAGGAGAGAGGGAAAGTGAGAGGGAGAGAAAGAGAATGGGGCAATATAATAGCAAGTTCTGAACACTAGAGAAAGCAACTTCATAGCTCTTGCCAGATATATTAGTCTATAATTTACCTCTTTGTTCTTATCTGGTTTGCCTCACTGGATACAAATTATTTTGTATCTTCTTCGTTTTATTGGTGAAGAAGTTTGGTGATCCAAACATACCAGTAAGCCCTACTTCTTGTTCTTTCTATTGTTGGCTCAGACGCCGAAGAACTCTCCCAGGTGAGCACTACACCTGGATGGAAGGCAGGGCAAGAGCCTAGAAAGCCCTGGGTCACACTGATTGCCCCTCCTCTGGGAGCCTGCAAATTAGGGTGCATTGTCCTATTATTATAAAGAATGGAAATAATGTACAAATTATGTCACAACAAAGGAAGAAATTCTAACTATAGTGCACAGCAGGAAGCAATAGTTTGCTCATTTGAGAATTACATGGCTGTTTATGCTTCTGGCACCTGGGCTAATTATGCTCTGATTTAAGCCTCTGGTGAGCCTGTAGTGCCATGATTACCAAGAAGCCACATGGTTATTAGTGGTGATAAAAGCAAAATACTAAGAGGCACCTGAGACAGGAGGATCACACACACAAACATTCCAAAAAGGTTTGCTACTTGGGATGGTGTGTAGAGAAAGTGCCTCACACAGCATGCGTCAGAAGAGTCCCTTTCTTTCAACCCCTTCTACCTGCTACAGATATTAGCCAATCTTTAGCCCTGAGCTTTGAGCAATGCCTATTCAAATTATACCAAAGGACCAAATCACATGACCAAGGATAACCTTAACTGTCATCCAGCCTGACCCCTTACCTCTGGGGTTAGGTTGCCTGATTTAGACAAAGCACACACTGATCAAATCCCATTATGGTGAGCTGCACAGGACATGCCAGCAGAGCAATTTTATTAGACAGTTAGAAATCACATTAGTCCAACCCTAGCAGACGTCAACATCCAGGCTTTCTGTACTGTGTTAGCAAGAGAAAGAGCCCTTTGGCACATCCTTAAAGAAGGAGGTATATTTACATCATCTCACCCCCACACCTTTCTCTGAGAGCTTCAGTATTTGCACGAGTTGTAAAGTTTATTGCAAAGTCTACAAATATATTTTTTTTTTCTATTGATGGGACTGGAGCATTTGAAGGGATGCTTGATGGCAGAATAATAGAGTGATGAAAACATCAGCTGGGCTTCACTTCAACTCTTTCCTTCCTTTTGTAGAATTCAGAGTTATGTATTTTCACAAAAGAAAGGGCCTTAGACAAGAACCTATGAATATCCACAGACTAGCTGTGACAACCGTTTTCCCACCAGACCCTTCACATGCAGTCTGGTAACAAATGTGTTGTCCACTCATCCTTCACTCCTCTCCTGGTCCTCCCAACGCTTCCAAAAACAGAACCACCTCCGGACCAGGGTCCCCCAAATCCCAGCAGCAGGACTGGGAGGACAGCAAGCAGAACACAAACAGAACACAAGAATCATTTCCAGGAGGAAACTGCTGGAAGTCCTTCCCACCATCCAGAGAGAACCCCAAATCCACCAACAGCAAGGAAAAAAGAGCAGAAAAATGTCTCCTGTACTTCAGAGCAACAGGCTAGCACTTCATAGAACCTGGCATGGGTCAGCATTTCTGAACTCTTTTTTTTTTTTTTTTAGATAAAAGAGATTTTTTTCAAAAAGTAGACCAAGACTTCAACCTAATGAAAATTGCTTTGTCCATTCACATACAATAAGCGATAGAAGCAAGAAGAAAAAAATTCAATTACTTCTAATTTATTTATTGCAAGTTGTTAATCTTTACAAAGAAAAAAAAATCAAGCCCTCCATTGGTTGCCCAGTATCTTGGCACAGGAAATACATATTTAATTATCTCTTTGCATATTGATTATGTAAAGGAAAAAAGTGGATTGATTTTGCTCATCAAATATTTTGCCAGTGTCTACAATTAGGAGGCCACTGTATACAGGCATACCTAAGAGATAGCGTGGTTTTGGTTCCAAACCACTATAAAAAAGTGAGCTGTAATTTTTGTGCTAGAGGCGGATCTTTCCATCAATTTGTTTTAAAAAAAAAAAAACCAACCTCGGTGGTGCACAATAAAGCAAAGTGCAATAAAACGAGGCATACCTGTACAGCCGACCCTTGAACAAACGGGGCTTAGGGACGCTGACCACTTGCAGAGTCAAAGATCCCTGTATAATGTCAGCAGCCCTCAGCATATGCCGATTCCAACCATTGCTTTTGTGAAAAGCAATGCAAGGCTTCACTTTGCCAGGTACTTTGTTTTGTAACATGGGCTGTAGGTACACTGGTGCCCACTGCATCATTCTTTATGCCCCTTTGAACATCTTGAATATTTCGTATTAAATGTTGCCAAATCCTTAAATCTTCACCAACAGATTCTATTCTGGGCTGTTCAGAGCTGAAAGTTGAGAAGCAAAGTTGGAAACACCAAAATGTAATTGCAACAAAGAACAGAGAATGTAAGAGACTGTTTTTGGAAGGTTGCTTAAAGTTCTAAACCCATGCCAAATAACTGCTATGAAAAGAGAGCCAAACTCTACTGTGAGCCTCCTATACACATAACTGCTGAATTATTCTGAACACCTGTTGAAAGTGGGCGATAACTCGGCCAAGTGAAAAGCAGCAGGTACCTCTGTCAAGTGCACCATTGGCCCAGCTCCCCTGAATTTGTCACAGAATCTCTCTTCCCATGTCTGAACCCTTACGAGAACTACCTCCCTATAGTAGGGGAGACCGTGTGGGGTTGTGACTTTGAGCTTGTAATCCCCGCTATTCAGGGGAGATGCTGTAAAAGGCCCAAGCCTACCAGCCAGGACCTAAGGGAGTGGTTTCTTCCCCTTTGGGACACAGGCCCTAAACCACATTTGGTCTCAGTGCCACAAGGAACCAACCCTGATCTTCCAATCTTTCTGCCATGACATTAAAACCAACTGTTTCATCCCCCTGCCCACAGGCAGGAAGAGAAGAAAGATGGTCCCAATAACTCAATTTCAGTCCTAATTCCATCCCTCGTGGGACCCAAGTTTGCCACCATCTCCCCATTCCCGTGTGGCCAAGGTTTTATTGTCTAGTCTTCCCTTTTACCCGCACTGCTCAATCCTCACCAACCTGTAACCTCTTAACGGCAGTAAAAGGCCACAGACAGGATGGAGAGCAGAGGGTGTAAGAAGAAGAAAAATCCAACTACCCAGAACATCTACACCCTGTGTAATCAGCCAATGGGAGCAGAAACGCCACTCACCCCAGTATTTCTAAGAGCAGGGCTTTCCCCCACATAAGAAACTGTTAAAAAAAAAAAAAGACTTCTATAAAAGCTCTACAGAAATAAGATTCTGAAATTTGACACCTAATTTCTTTTATTTCTGAATACCGTTAGACCAACTGGTTTTACTTCCTTCCCACCACACACACAAAACCCCCCGGGAGCCTCCGGGGAGAGGCTGAGCTCCCCAAAGTCTGGCTGGTGCACCAGCGTGCAAAACGCCTCTTTTATTGGCCTCGCTTGGTAAGTCGCAAATCCTCCCTCTGTTCCACCAAAGTTAACAGATGGCTGGTCCCTTTTGGTACAGAGGCATAAGCATCTTCAAAATAACCTCTTCCTTTAAAATGTGCCAATTAATTAAATGTCACTGTAAAATGTCACAGCCAAGGAGGGAAGGGGCAGCCCAGAGGACTAAGGGTCAATGGAAGAGAACAAGGCTGAGGTCACTCTCTCCTACCTTCACCCGACGACCCGGAGAGATCGATGATCACATACACTCGGCCTTCCGGCTCCAGGTCAATCTGCAATTAAGAAAATGACAGTGTCTCTGTTAGTACATTGTGGGGACAGCGCACGAGTTTATGACGTTTCCACCCCAAGTTGCTAAAACCTAGAGTCATGGTTCCATTCAATTCACCAGCCTGCAAAGTGTCAAGTGCCAGGTGAACTAGGAACCAGGGAGAATCCCCATTTACAGACTACCCATAATGCTCCGGGTGCCGTTCCAGGAGGTCTGACGCATACCCAATAGGAAGGTCATCCCCGTGGTTCTCCCCCGGAAGCGATTTTGCTGCACAACGGAAACCTGGCCCAGGGCACAGGTGACACGGGAACATTTGGGGGACATAAAAAACCAGGAGACATTTCTGACTGTGCTGCTACCTGCATCCCCGAGGTGGAGGCCAGGGATGCTACCAGACATCCTAGCACACAGGCCAATCCCCACAGAAAAGAACGATCCAGCTCAAAATGCCAAGTGTCAGGGTTGAGACACTCCGTGTTACCCCATTTTACAGGTTAAGAACACTGGGATCAACGTTCCAAAGTAAGTGACAGTGCTGTGATTCTGCCAAAGCCATGTTCCTTAGACCACACAAACTGCCCACAGGGGAACTAAGAGAAGCACAAGACAACTCCTGCTCTCAAAGTGTTTACCATCTCACTGGAGAACAATGCTGAACCCGGCTTAAGGATGAGGGACAGAGAAGGTCTGAGTGTCGGTGAGCCTGAAATCCATGGAGAAGAGCAGTCTGGGAAGACTCTATGAAGGCGAGAAAGGGAAGGCATTCAAGGCGGAAGTAACAGCATAAGCAAAGGCCGGAAATGCGCACGGTGCCTATGTGCTTAGGCTGTGTGTTGGCACATGTGTTTTTGCAAACTCCAGATTCTACCAAGGTGGTAAAGAGAGAAGAGTGCTAAAGTCTTACCACTGACCTTCTCCATGCACCCTCACTTCCTCCCCCCACCTCCAAATCCAGCTAACTGCTTCAATACAGAAGCAGGCTGATGACATCATACAATGGAAGAAAAGTCAGAGGCACTGGGCCTCTTAGCAGTTGAGACATCTTTGCAAGGTCTGAAGTGTCCTTACAGAAACTGTGTCCTCTGTGAGAGAGAGGAGTAACTCTGGAAACCCAGGGTCACCATGTGCCCCAGTTGCCTACCCCTGCCCCCACAATCCCATCTGTCTATGCAGGTCTCTAATTGGCTCATATGTGCCAGGCTTGTCTCCCCAACAAGCTGTGAGTATCTGGAGAGCTACAACCACCACCCCTCCTTTTCTTTTTCACTGTCTCTGGCAAAGAACCGGCAAACACCTAGCAAGTGTGACTTAGGAAGTGTTGTTCTGACAGATACCTCCTCCTCCTTCAAGGTCAGGGTCGAGTAGCCGCTCCTCTCTGAAGTCTTTCCAGATATCCCCAGTGAGCCTTGATCATCCCACATGTGTATTCCCACAGTACACACACACATCTTAACCATGGCTCCTATTCAACGGCACTCCATGGTCCGTATGTCTATCTCCTCTGCTGGACCGAGTATGAGAATCATATTTGCATCCCTAGTGCTTAGCTCGCTCTCTGTGTGTCAGGAGACACCCAATAAACATCTGGGGAAGTGGGAAAAGGCTTGAGGCTCAGGACTGTCAGGGCCTATTCTGGGGTCATCTGCCCCTCCAAGGCTCCATCCCCTGTAGGAAGGAAGGCAGGTGGTCTGTACCAAAGTGACATTCAAACGAGGTGAGAGGGGGAAAGAGGCAGCTAACTGTACCATGAGCACTGCATATTCCCTGTGAGGTGAAAATCTCAGCTAGAACTGACACCCCTGTTCCCACCCCATTCCCACCCCCCCCACACACACCCCCATCTCACTCCACTCATAATCCAGGCTCCCAGCCATCCATGCTCCCCTCTTTATTTCCAGGCTCAGTCATTTTGTGGTTGAGAGTGCTCAAGGTTTCTCCCCAAATTCACGCTCATCAACAGGGATCTTCAGTGCCTCCTAGGTGAGGCCCTTGGTGACATTCAAGGTGCTCTGTCAGGGCAGGGCATGGGTGGGGGTGCTGGGGGCTCTCAGGTTGCCCCCCAGGAGCCATTCGCCTGGGATCTCAAGACGAATATCCAGATGGCAACCAGACAACAAACTAGTGATGCCATGAGATGACTCTCCCCAGCCCTTCTACCCTAAGAGTCTGTGGTTTTAGATTTATGAGTAAAGAACATGCTCTCCAGCACCCTCACTGCACCCCACCCTTCCAGGCCCAACCCCTACCACAAACACATCCCAGCCCCTGCACTGAATTACAAACAGGAAAACCGACAGCAGTCAGCTCAGCTGATCAGAGCCAAACCAGAATCCCGTCCCTGCCGCATTTCAGGGGCCTCCTTGTCCAAAAGCATGGAATTTAAATAATGTATGCCTTTTAGAGATTAGATCATCCCTATTAAACCCCGCCGGCAACATGAAATGCTTTCTCATATCCTCTAAGTCAGAGATTTCCCACGACCGTGGACTCCACTGGCGAAGTACAATGCTATCTGTGAAAAGCAGGGAGGAGACAGCAGAGGAATGAGATGGGCTGCGAGGCCGAGCCGAAGGCAGGCAGCTTGCCTATCTTTGCAAAAGGGGAGTGAGAACTTGTGGCAGGGGGACAGGTCATTGACGATAAGATGTATTAGGATATTAACATTCAAGATAGCAATCAGAAACCATTTTAGCACCCACTGCTGCTTCAGTGCCAATGAACTGCATTTCCAAACAGAGAAATAGAAATTAAGCTATTAAACATGCCAAGAGCAACAGAGAGCTTTGCAGCCTGGGCAGATGGCCGCAAGGCGCTGGCCAAGCCCCAGCCAGCTGAGTGAAAAGGCTCTGAGAACCCATCTAGGGTGGTGCAACTTCAACGTGGGTGATTGCAGGGGTTATCAGGTACAAAAGGTGGTGGAAGGATGGTGCAACTTCATGGCCAAATCACTTTAATCACAGATTCTGCTCACAATTAGGAGGCCCAGATAATGAAGCAACCAAGGTGCCAAACCCTGAGCTGTCCCTGCAGCTGTTAGTGGGCATCAGCACCAGGCAGCTGGCACTACATAAAAGCAGGCCTCCTCCCTCCTCCCTACCCATCCCAGGGTTAGTAATAAGCACTTTCTTCTGCCCTCTAGGTCCCTCCCAATTGTCCCTGATGCAACCCTACTTATCAAATCTCCTTGAACTTCATACTTTGACTTGATGAGTCTTTCCAGCTACTATCTCTGTTCCTTTGACTTTGATTCTTTTTCAGGCGCCAGTGCCCTTGGCTATCTCTCCAGCTGAGGCCAGAAGTAGGGCAGCAGGACAGTGGGGCCAGACCAGGGCTGGATCCCAGTTATGCCACCTACCAGCTCAGGCAATTATTTATTCTCCCTGAGCCTCAGCCTCAATCTCTTCTCCTGTGACACAGGTTGTTGTGAAATCTCCATGAGTCAATCTCCTGGCTTTATGGCCTGAAGCAAGCAAGTACCTTCTCTATCCCTCAGAATGCTCCTCCATGAAGTGGAGTTGATACTAGGTCTTATGTCATTTGGGCGGTCATGATGTTAAGTGCAATAACATAGGTAAAGTGCCTAGCATGAGGCCTGGCATGAAATACTCAGTAATTGTTGGTGCTGTGGTTATAAAAAATCCAGTCTTCAAATCGCCTCTTGGGCCAGTGTTCTTTTCACTGTATCAAATGGTCCCCCAACAACAATGACAACAGCCAAAAGGCATTTTCTTGTCCAAAGTTAACATTATTACACTAGAGGCCCAGTGCATGAAATTCGTGCATGAGTAGGGTCCCTAGCAGCTGCCAAATGACAGCCAGGGCCTTCCTTCATTACTCGCCGCCCCATGATGGTCAGCGCACATCACAGCAAGTGATCAAACTCCCAGTCAGTCCAACTCCCGAGGGGACACTTTGCATACTAACCTTTTATATATAGATGTTATTCCAGGACATCTAATAACTTTACAGTATTGTTGTGAATATCCAATAAAAAATAAGGTGAAAGTTTTATGTCCAGCTCAGGGGAAGCCCAGGGCAGGAAAGGCTGTAACTCTGGTCATCAGAGAGCCAGGCACTGCTCATGGGAAAAGGAGAAGGGGAGGGTGACATGTATAGACTAAGCACCTACTCTTCCTCAGACTGTGTTCAGTGCTTTGCCAGCATCAGTTCATTTAATCTCCTGTTAGGTTGGCAATATTCTCTGCCTCCCATATGGAAAAACGGGCTCAGAGAGCTTTTTCTGGATTCACACCCAGGGCTGCCTGGAGCACGCGGGAGGGATGACTTTGATAGAGCTCCCGACTCAAGCCCTCTGACAACCCAGTCCCAGGGTTCTCCGTCTTCTAAGCCTCTGCAGGTTCATTCTCCCTTCCAGGTGCAAGTGACTGGCTTCCCAGCAAGGTAGGTTTAAGGCAGCGCAATGCTTCCCACACCCTGCCCTCCAGTCCTTGGGTGAGGTCTGGGCATAAACACAGCTCCATTCATCTGAGTTAAGAATAAGGCAGTGGGGAAAGAGCCCAAACCATCCCTCGATCCATGAAAAAGACATCTCTGAAAAGCAAAAGACTCACAGGCACTTTTTAGGGGGTGGTGTCTGACCATTCACAGTCCTGTGCACATTATTTTATGCATTCCTCCCAATTAACCTGTAAGGTCACAGGTATTATTAGCTCCACTGTATGTATGAGAACACGGAAGATAATGAGTCATGCACACCACTGCCCAACTCCAGGGGCACCATTCACTTGAATGAGTCTCCTGGAGCTGGGAAGCCTGGAGGTGAGTGGCACCCTCAACTCCTGACTCTCAGTCCAGTGTTCCTGCCACCACACCACATCTGCCAGAGGGAACCCTGACCAGTGGGCCAGCACCCCACCAATGGTGCAGCACTGCACAGCCAGCTTAAGTGTTACTGCTGTATGTCACTGTGACCCACAGGTGTCTGCACACCTGTGCTTGGGAGTGACCAAGTTCAAGGCAAAAGAGAACAGAAATTCA